TATATATATATATATATATATATATATATAGGCTTTTTACATATAAACATCTATACAACAAGGTACTTATTTAGGGGTAGGCGCATCAAGTATAACTGTGGACATGAGTTAGGTCCTTTCTGTCACAAAGTCGTTTTAAACAATATTTGTAACAAAGTCTTTTTAAACAACTTAAAATTTTTAGAAAGAACATTAAAAATGTTTGAGCTGGTAAGGACTTAATGCAACAACGGTCCTGCAAGATATAATTCTGACCTAGTACATGAACATTTTTCTTACCGGTAATGTAAAATTTTATCAAACCTATATGAAAAAACAAACAAACTGTAAAGAGTTACATCAGCAATTAAATAAGACTTTAGGATTGTTATAAAAACGTGTTTAAACAGTTTTCTAATTGTTTCTTTTTGTTTTTTTTTTAAAAAAAAAGAATTATTTTTGCATTGCTTAGATGTTTTATTGATTTTATTCAAATTTATGACAACGGTGTTATTTATTTGAATCCATTTTGTTGGTAATAGCTTTATGGCTTTCATATAAAACATTATAACTAAAACTTTTTATTCACTTTTTTCTCCCATCTAAACAAAACTTCTAATCCGCTGTTATTTGTTTTTTTTTAAATATAAATAAAGGTTAACTAACCTTTTTAGCATTCATTTATATCATCATTTTTTATATAACTTTGTTATATAAAAAATGATTTGAATTTTGTTTGTCTGTTTTTTCGCATAAAAAAACACTACTCTGTCTATTAAAGCATTTTTTTCTTCCTTAGCATATAACAATTATGTACTACAGTTTTAATAAGTTAAAAGGCTATAAACAAAGTTTTCTCTCGGGCATAGACTGCTAAAGATCTACTTTCTATATTGACTATACTAGCTATTTTGATGATAAAATATCGCATTTTATCGCAATAAATTTTACGTGAAATGTTTTTTTACAAATTTTATTCTACCAGATAGTGGTTAAAAATAAATAAATAAATAAATATATATATATATATATATATATATATATATATATATATATATATATATATATATATATATATATATATATATATATATATATATATATATATATATATATATATATATATATATATATATATATATATATATATATATATATATATATATATATATATATATATATATAATTTAAGCTTTTAAGGAAAAAAACCACAAGCAACTTTTTTTGTTGAAAAAAATCTCATATTCTCTCATTTAAAACGTGAGATTATGTCGTATTTTATTCAACATCGCGTAATTTTATTTAATCTCATTAAACCTACTATAAAAATTTAACTTTTTATCTAAAAAATTCTACAACGCTACAACGAATTCGTAACGCTATTTTGACAAACAGCTGCGCGATTTAAATGTGAAAAACCTTAGCGACGGAAAAGAACGTTATTCGAAAAACAATCAATTAAAAAGTACGAACTAAAATAAAAAATTAAGATTTATACAAATTATCTGAAAATAACGCCTAAATCAAATATAATTATTTTATATAATAAGATTGACTCTTTTAAAAATTTTTTATTTAAACAAGTAATAGTTGCAAAAAGTAAAAAAGTTGCATTACAAAAATCTTACTCTAATTTTTTTAATGTTAATTTTGGATTATATGGCTGACTAATTTCATTGTGTATAGTTAAATATTTGATTTTTTTTTTTTCATTTTTTATCCATTAGTGGCTATGAAATTTTTTTAAATATTGCATTTACACCAAGCTTTTGCGAATTGGGCGCCTTTTATAATTAATATAACGTTTAAAAAATTAATGCGGAATTTGCCATAGTTTGTAGAGTAATTACAAAACGGTACTATCACCAGTATTTTAAATGTTTATTTGCTAACAAATAAAAAAGAACTCCTTTTTTAAAAAAACAACAACAACAACAACAACAACAACAACAACAACAACAACAACAAAAAACACTTAAAAAAAAAAGGATAATAAAAAAGTAAAAATGTAAAAAGATACAACAGTTTAGTGTAAAAACTCTGTTTTGGATTTAACGTAACTAAAACGTAAATAGTTATAAGTATAGTTGACTAAAAATAAAATATAGTTTTAAGCATGTTATCTATAGAAATTTTATTGGAGACATAATTGACTACAAAAATGGATATTCAATCATTCATTTTTAGGTTATATATCTATATTCCAATTATCCAGTATTTATTGTTCCATGAAATTATTTAAAACGCAATGTTTATGTTTTTTGATTTTCATGATTCTCTGACGTAATTGATAATCAAATACCGACTTTTTTGCATTTGATAAAATGGCTTGATAAAACTTTTACCAAATTTTATCAGACTTATGTAATAAAAAACAGTTGCAATTGTGGAATTTTTAAATTGAGAAATTTTATGTTGTAGAAACCATGTGTTTTTTTAAACAAAGCTTTAGATCAGTAAATCTTTAGTAATATTATGACGAATTAGCTGTTTACACAGTACAGATTTTTATCATATAGTAAGTGCGGGTTTCAATTTTAAGACTGTAATTCTGCAGCTCTAAAATGTTTGTTTTAACATCCGGTTCATTCCTCAAAATTATACTTTGCTGTTAAACTACTTGGTAAGATATTATATATATATATATATATATATATATATATATATATATATATATATATATATATATATATATATATATATATATATATAAATATATATATATATATAATAGTAATATATAGTTTTTAATATGTAGTAGTATTTTTACTTTATATATATGTATATATTTGTGTGTGTGTAAACTAGATAACCATTTTATGATTTTGATTATGTTAACAGGCTTTTTTTATGATATATCTGGTTATTTTTAAAGTAGACTCTTAAAAGACTTTGTTTGTTTTGTTACGAATTATATGCTGTAACATTATTTGTAAATAAATACGTGTTAAGCTAAGAATGACATTTTGTAAATATAGCGCAAAAGTTTAAAAAAGAACACGTTAAAAGCAACAACTGCTTTGCTTGATGTTTTGCTAATTATTACGCTTTATTATTAGACTTTGCTAATAACTACGCAAAAAATAAAAGTAGTTGTTGTTTTACGAGCGATGCTAAACCTTTATTTATGAAAGATTTTAGAATTTGATATAAAATTTATTTACGCGCAATAGAAAAAATCTTTTGTTTATAATGGAATTCGAATTGAAACCTTTTTACAATAAAAAAGCAGGTTTATTTGTTTTACAAATTTGAGGTAATTATAAAAATCATAAATTAATTTAGTTTATTTATTTCTTTAGTTTATTTATTTCATTAGTTTATTTATTTAGTTTATTTATTTCATTAGTTTATTTATTTATTTAGTTTATTTATTTTTTCTTTACGAAAATAATGTTAATTTTTATAAATCTCTTTTGCTTAAAAAGCTTATTAAGCCGTTCAGCTCAATTCTTTTTACGCGTTCATTCAAACTGGGTGATCGTATACATTCCATCTATTAATATCTGTTTCTTTGTTTTAAAACCGTTTTAAAAATCTTTTTCAATAGTTTCAGCGTATATTTCCAATATAAAAATAAGCTATACAAAATTATGACGTATAAATCAAGATTAATTTAATTTTTTAACCATTTGGTTTAAACTCTAAAGTAGAAAGAAAAAATCCCAAATAGAATATTAATGAATTTAACTGTTTTTATTTTAAATCAAATCTTAACCGTTAAATAAGCATTCTATTAAAATTCTAAACGTCTATGTGATTAAAGGCTTATTCTTTTTAACTTGTTAAAGATATATAGTTATAATTATTTTTAATTAAGAGTAGATTAGAAATGCGTAGAAAAATAGCAAGGAACGCGTGAAACTAATTTTAAAAATAAAAACGTGAGCATTTTAAATGAAAAATTTGGACTGCTTAAAAAGCGTTTTTTTATTGACAATAATGTTCGAAACTTTAATAACAAAGTCCTTTCTTGTTTTAACTTTGTAAAGTCAAGATGTCGCCTGATTTATATTTTGAATGCTTTATAATATTTGCGTAAAGTAACAAATTAATAATTAACTAAACTGCGGTTTAAAGCCTACTCTTATAATGATTCTCTTTTTTATTTCTGGTGGAAGAATGCGTTTTTGAAATTTTGTAGTTGTTTACAAAAATTTAATGGAATATAGATTTATTTGAAAATATAAAGGTAAGGTTTACTTACAATGTTTGTAAATATCATATCCCTTTTTTAATACTACCGAAATAGAATATGACGAAATGAGTTTTTATAATTTTTTAAACTTTTTATTTGACTTATTGAAAATTTAATAACACACGTAATTTGTATTATTGAATTTATATATATATATGCATATATATATATATATATATATATATATATATATATATATATATATATATATATATATATATATATATATATATATATATATATATATATATATATATATATATATATATATATATATATACACACACAAATACATACATGCGTACATACATACGTACATACACACATACATACATATATACATGTGTACATATAAAATATCTGATTTATCTATTATTTTTATTCCACAGTAATATTTTATGGATAATTTATTATTATATTATAAATATAAAGCATTAAACCATATAATAAGAACTCACTTCTAAAAAAATCTATAATTTTTACAACGCATTATTATTAACGCAGAATCATATACTATATAACAAAATAAAAAATGTATGAAACTCGTTACGACTCTCGAATTTACAAATCTCATCCGAAGTGGTCATAATTTTATTACTCTTTTTCTTTATTTAGTTTTATTATTATAGATTTTATGCTTTTTTTAATTATTTTTTTAATTATATACATTTTAATATTTGCACGCCTAAACTTCATAGTTCACCAATAATTGTTGTTATTGGTGAACTAACTAAAAAAAAAAAAAAAAAAAGTGTAGTTACGATTGCACTTGTTCTATGTACAAATTCATATAAAAAGATATTTTCTGGATATTTTCACTTAGTCTTTGCACCACTTTTAATTTCAGAAAATAGATTTTTTTTTTATCTTATCTAAAGGGATGTAAAGAAACTTTAACATTTTAAAAATACGATTATATATTCCGACTGTGTTTCATCATGCGTAACAAAAAGCCCGCGTGCTGTGTTTGAAATGAATGTTTATTTAATTTATTGAGGACAATTGTTTTAATTATTCAACTAATCGACTATCACTTCTATTCACTCTAGAAAGCATTGTCTTGCTTAGGAATCGGTTAATTTTGTTTTAAGAATAGTTTGTCAGAGTTGTTAACCTTTTCTCGAAAATTTATTTAGCGAGGTTTTAGGAGTTAATTTACTATTGGAGATTGTTTTAGGTTTTATGTGTTATATATTTATATATAGCTTTACATTTTTATAAGAAGTTTTAAGCTGAATGAAAAAACATGAGAGACCAAATCGCTGATGCTTTCCAAATTTTAAAGTTTTATAAGATTTTTTTTTTATATAATTATTTTAAAGAAACTTTATATAAAAAAGTATCAATTTTGTTAAATTTATTATTATAACTATAAAGCTTTCAAGGAGATAGCGTCGTACGACTTTTTACCTTTAACGGTTTATAACTGATTTTTGAAACTGTTTTAATTGTTTTTTGTGCGTTCTTACTGCTTGCTAATAAAAATGTTTTCGCTTTTCACGCTGCGTCTTATTGAACGTTCTTAAAATGAAGCTACTTTTTTTTTAATGCGTAATTAAAAAAATAATAATATTAATTAAAAATTGTTTCAGACAAATTTAGAAAGTAATTTTATCAGAAACAGGAAATATTTTGGATAACTTTTAAGGAAAATATAACTTTAATAGAATTGCGAAGTCTTGTATATTTGCTTGGCAGTACATCGAAGCTGTTTATGCTTTAATGAGCTTCGCTGGCGTGTTTAACAGGTTTTTCGACGTTGAACCGCAAGTTGGTGAAATGCACTTGATTTATCGGAAGAATTTATACTCAAGCTTTGTTTCAACAGGGTCACCATTACGATGAAAAAGATTGTTATACTGTTATATTGCGACGTAATTCAACGACGGAAATAAAAGACAACTAGCATTTGTAATCTATTATAAGCTTGCTGGTCGCTTTAGGGATTTAATTTATTAATAAGATAGGCATGTTTTTGCTGTTGTTTCATGAAATCGAGGTTGTCATTAAAACCCTTTTAAAAGTCTGCGGTTTAAAACTTATTTGTGATAGCCGGATTATAAATTATTTGATTATATATTTTTGTGTTGCTTTAGCTAAAGCAACGTTTTTCTGAGATCAAAGGAATATATGTGATGTTTTGATTTTTTTACTATTACTTTATTGCGTTTTATTTAAAGTACAGATAATAGCATGGATAAGTAAATATTGAATATCATTTTAATTTTTTATTTATAGAGATCATAACAAGTTAAATTAACTAGTATTTTTAAAAAATTAATGAAGTAAAAAAAAAAAAAAAAATATGACGGAAAGTCTGCCAGAGGATCAAAACAAGAATCAAAATGAGAAAACCGAAGAACAAATTACATCCTACAACAATGGCAGTGAAGTTTATCATATTGGAGGTATTATATGTTTGCATTAATGCGATAATGTTGATTGGTTCTGCTTAAAAGTTTTTATTATTATTGATATTAGTTGTATTGTATTTCTGAAACTGAAACATTTTTAAGTCAAATTTTTTTTTTTAATTGTTTGTTTTGTTTAATGTAAACATTTTTATTCATCCTGAACTTTTATGTCTGACTTTATGACAAGTGATTTAAAAATAATTTCTGTATAAAAAATTATATACGCATGTTGATTTAATCTGGATTCTTTTTTTTTTTCTTACATTTATTAAAGTCCAAATATTTCACTCATTTAAAATAACTTGTTAAAAAGTTTTGTTTATTTTTCAATTATAAATTATTAGTCGAAAAATATTTGTAACGAAAAATGCGCTGAAATTGTTGCCGTTTTTTGGTCTATTCTTAATTTTTTTTAAGAAGTTCTCAATCATTTTGCAAATAAAAGAGGCGGTATTCTTTGCGTTTTAATGAAGTTTTTCAGATATTAATATTTAAATTGAATTAAATTGTGTTCAATTTTTAATTGTAAAGCTTTATAATCTGATTCTTGTCTTGCTCTGTGTTTTATTGATTCTTTTAAATAGGTTGGTTTATATATTAATATTTACCTTGTTTTCCAGATGGATTTTATTATCAATTTAGTTCAAAGCTAAAAATAGTTGTCATAGTGATCAACACATATTTTAAATTTTTATCTTCTAAAAATATCATTTTTTGCGTGACAAAATAACTTTTAAAAAATTAACTAAATAATTAAATGTTTTTGAATTTAAAATATTTACTTATAAAAATTGCTTTCTTTACTGTAATTAAAATAAACTAAATTATTTTGATTGATTTCTTTAATTAGTGTGCAAAAAATTAAAAAAAAAAAAGTTAGTTTCTTTCATAAAATTGTTTGTTTTAAAAATTATCACTCAACCTAATATTTTTTTATAGAACAACTGTTAATAGCAATTTTGCTTTTTTATACTATTGACATAAGTCACTGTTTGCTTTTATAAACTTGTTTGCTATTTTAGACACTGTTTACATAGAAAGCCAACGTTCTGATATGCCATACTACATATGCTCAATAAGAGATTTTAAAAAGGTGAACTTCATTTAATAATTTATATAAATTTAAGCAATAGATCAAATGTTTTTTATTTTTACTTTATACTGTTTGTAAATATAATATATATCAACGTTTTTTTTAAATACTTCCAATTTAATAATTGCATTTAAAATTTTGTATCAATAATGGGTGTGATTAGGTGCGGTTTCAAGGGGTGGGGGTGTCATACCCCTAAATAAGGTTATATTCCGTTTTTTTTTTTTTTTTTTTTTTTTTTTTTTTTTTTTAAATATAATCAGAGTTTGACACAGCAGATTTTTTAGTTTTGAGGACCTTTTTTTTTATGGAAGGCAGTTAGCACTTTTTGAAAATATACCCCTCCCCTCCCCATTTTTTACCCCTAAAATTATCTCTGGGTGTGATTTAAAGATATAAAAACTTTAAAATAAAGTTGCCTCAGTATTTTATTGAGGATACATTTTTATTTTAATGAGACAAGTTATTCCATTTATAAAATTTGGTCCTTTTCCATTTCCACAGCTGGTGGTGTTGTATAGTGTAAGGATAAGGAAGATCATTTAAAAAATATAATAGTACATTTTAGGGTTAGTGAAATCTTAAAGCTAATAATTCTTTATAAAATTTTCTTCAATTATTTAGCATCATGTGACAGCAATACTAAATTTGTTTTTAATATATTTAGAGTAAGAAAGAGAATATTACTATTGATGTAGTATGGTATTATCGACCATGTGAAATTCCAGCTTCTGTTTATCAGTTACTTCTTCAAGATAGAAATGCAGAAAATGGTATAATATATTAACAACTGTTTTATTTATTTTTTATTTAAAATTAAAATTTTAATTTTTTCATTTTTCTAATTTAAAGGATCAGCTAGTAACATTTTGGAAAACCCAGTTGTTAAAGAGCGTGAATTATTTATATCTGATGCTATTGATATGTACCCTGCTTCTGCATTAAGGTTGACTTTTATTGAATATGTGTCTGTACAGAAGATACTGTTGGACAATCATTTTCTTTATCTTTAATGTTTTCATTGTATGATTAAAGTTGTTACTTGTTTTCTGTTTTATATATACTCTACCGTTAAAACCTGTCAAGTTATATAATACTAATTATTTATTAGCTAACAGGTTTTTTTATAGTAACTAAAAATGTTACATTATAAAGTTGTAAAAATAATATTAGTTGCTATACTAAAAGTATTTTCAAACATAAAAAAATATTATTGAAATAATATATTTGTATTAATACTCTCAATTGCTTAATTTGGAAAATTTATTATGCAACATTTTTTTATTTATTTTTTATAAAATCATAAAATAACATTTGGTCAGCAGTTTTCAAAACATTTTAAAATCATAAGCACTCTAAACAAAACAAAACAAAAAAGAGATGCTTTCAATATAAAATCTATGTACTATATAAATAATTTTTAAAAAATAGTATTATAAGCTATTTAGAGTGCATAAAAGCAATTTTTTCAAGTTTTATAAAACCTTTTTTTTTTTTTAAAAAAAAGAAGGAATGTTTAAATAATAAACAAGGTTTTCTTGCAACTGACAATATCAATAAGGAATTATTTAGGGGGTTGCAAAAATCATGTATGCACAGGAAATATGTATTTCCAATTTCCCAAGAAAAATAGTTACATATGAAAAACGGTTGAAAATGAAGGTTTTTACCTTATAAACCACTCAATTTTATTTTTATTGACATTTTTATATTTATTATTTTATTAACATCTTCTTAAATTAAAGTGGTTTAATTATTTATAGGGGTCGAGCAAGCTGTGTTCCTTTTTCAGAAATCAAAGAAAATGTAATGGAGTATATAAGCTCTGAAGATAACTGGTTTTACATACTACGTTATAATCCAGAATCAAGGTATTAAATAGTTACAAATATACCTCATAAATAGAAAATAAATTTTACAACAGCTTGTTACTCTATATATGAGTATGTGATGTAGTTAATAAAATTTAACAATGTTAATATATTGTTATTCAAGGAGAATGGCCAATGCAAAAGGAGAAATCAGGATTGGGGCAAGTCATCAGGTAATCTAATGTTTTTTTATTTATCCAGATATCTTGTTAAATTTTAGTTGAAGAAAAAAATTTTATACCTTGATTTTTTTATAATAGTATTTCACATTTTAATACTTATGAAGTTTTACATTTAAAAAATATACTGCTTACAACCATTAAAATTCTAACAGCAACCATTAAACTTATTTAATAAAATACAAATTTTCTATATTTCTATATAATAAAAAAAAATTATAATAGCCTAAAATATTAAAATTATTATTAACTAAGTAAAACACTATTAAACAAAATAAAAATTGAATTTTTATATGGATTAAAAATAAATTAAATAAACATTTCTTTATAGGCTTCGTTGCCTCAATGTATACCTTGGCATGAAAGAAGTGCAGCAGAACTTATGGAACTTAATCAAAGTAGCATTGAAGAATTGGTTAATATAAATGTTTATTTTTGTAATTTCGTTTTTATTTGAAGTTTTTATATTATTTGATTTTTTTTTATTTTTACAGGTTTGGGAACCAGTTATTCCAAATTCCAAGCTGATTGTATATATACGTGCAGCGCGTAGTATTACTTCCTATAATGGTTATCGTGATAAAGAAAATGGTGGTCCAGAAAAAGCACTTGATTCATTTTCTCAAGATTTTACAACAGCTCATTCTTATGACATAGTATGAAAAAATACTTTTTTATTTATTATTTGTGTTTTTTTTTATGTGTTTTCTTCTTAATTATTATATCTAACTCATATTGATTTTTAAGGTTTAAATTTTTTACATTTCCATATAGCTTCATAAACATGGATATAATATATCAACTGCTCTACAATACTTAATAAAAAATCCTGTACCTAAGCTATCTACAGCACCTTGGAGTGATGAAGAGAGAGTGAGTTTTTTTATGAAAGTTTTTATACAGCAAATTTTAATTTTTTATGTCTTTAAAGAAATTTTGTATTAAATAACTTTTTATAATTGATTTTATATAGAATTGAATCAATTTAAATGTCTTTAGAAAAAATTCATGAAGGGTTTGCGATCTTACGGAAAAACATTTCACAAAATTCAAAAAGAACTTTTTCCTGAAAGACAAACTGTAAGCATAGGTTTTATTTAAATAAAAATGTTTTGATTTTATGTTTCCTTATTATATTACGAAAAAAATTTCATTTTTAGAGTGAGTTAGTTGAGTATTATTACATTTGGAAAAAAACAGCAACAGCGCTTAGTTCAAGACCACACAAAAGAGGTATTCGAAGAAATAATCTTGTAAGAAAAACAAGAACTGCTAAACCAAAAACAGCTGCTGCAACTGAGTTCTGTAAGTAGTTTCCTTAACTATTTTTTGTAATATATTTTATGTATTTTGCTGTCAAGAAATTTTTACCAAACTAAACTAACAACAATGTATAAATACATGTCTGTGGTAAGAAGAAGCCAAAATCAATTTAAATTTGTCAAACTTCTTTACCAAATAAATAAATAATAACAATAAATATACAAGAAAAATGATCTATTTTATAAAGTTACAAAACAATTTTTACTTTTTGAAATACAGAATATAAAGTTATTTAAAATATTGGTCATTGAACACAAATTCAAAATATAATACAACATTACACACATACATATACTAACCCAAATCAGTAATTTATACCTTTTTAATAATTCTTTTAAAAAAAAAAGTAGTTTTCAATCTAATTTTTTCAAACAAGGTAAACATCATACTACCATAAATGTGTTAAAGTTTAGTTTTAAAACCTCTCGCAGATATATGCATATATACAGCTTTGTCTTATTAATAAATGCTATGCTATTGAACATTATTTTTTTTGTGTGTGTATATTTCAATGACAATTACATTACCTGTATTATGAAAAAAATTTTATTTTAAAAGTTTTAAGTTATTGTTTAAAACTATTTGGTTTATAATTTATAATTAAAACTCTTTTCAGTGGATTTGAGCTCTTGCAGTGAAAATGATTTTAATGTTTGTGATGACAGTGAAAATGAAAGAGACTTAAGGTAATTAATTTTTAAATTTGAGCTGTGCTGCATCAAGCACCTACCAGGATGTATTTACATTTTGAAATTTTTCTTTTTAGCTTATATGCATGTCGTCATTGCTATACAACAAGTGAGTTTTTTACTTTTTTTAAAAAAAGTTCTATTTTTTGCTTTTGAAACTACTCTTAATGTTAACAATTTTGTTTATAAGAATCTCCAAATTGGCATCATGCTGGCAAACACAAGCTTCTACTTTGTTATAATTGTAGGATGCATTTTAAACGTTATGGTCAAATGAAAAATTTTAAGGATGAGGACAGACTTGAACCTCCAGCATATATTTATAAAGCTGCATTTGTTAATCTTGAAGAACATCTTCAATACTCAGGACGAATGCGTACTAGACGATCTTCCACACCAATTTTTATGAACGGCAATAACATGCGTATTAGAGTTTTACAAGAAGGTTTGTAAATTTTTTAATATTATTTTAACAATATTAATATGTATATTCATACTTATGCTTTTTGCTCATTTTAAATATTAAGTTTAGCATTGTATGTTGAAGGTTTTATATATTATTTAGATCTATAGTATAATATCTATAAATTTTAGCTAAATTGTCTAATCGGAAACAAGTTACAGAGACAGAAGATAAAAGTAATGATCAAGAAAAAAAAGCATCTAAGCGAAGAAATTCAAAAGATATGAATGAAAATGATAGAGAGCAAAAAAAAGGTCGCTTGGAAGCTGATGAGGATGAGGTAGCCATCTGGCTTTTTTTTAGCCATCTGAACTTTTTTCTAGTGCCAAGCAAACAATTAGTTTTTTTTTTTATAGCATTTCTCATTTTGATTTCAAATATGCAATTCATTTTTCACCATCACGTCAAGTTGTAAAGATATTTGGGTTCAAATCTTTAGTATTTGGCGTAAAGTCCCTAATATTGTAGAAAAAAAAGGTATTTAAAAGTATGTCAACCTGGGTCTCAAAAGAAGCGTATTTTCATAGAGATTTTAGAAAATAAAAATATTTTTCCTTAAAACTTATTGACAAAATTATGTGAAAAAATGCTTAAGGTTATAAAAAATTGTAACAAAATGTTTTTCAGCAATAATACAAAAAGTACTTTTTTTTTATAATAAAATATTAATATTAGGGATTTTACCCCAAATACTAAAGAACTGAACCCAAATATCTTTACAACTTGATGTGATAAAAAAAACTAATTGTTTGCACCAGAAAAATTTTTTTTTTTGTTGACCTGTGTTATTATGTGTTCATATGTGTATATATAGAACATCTAATAAAAACTAATTTTTTTTGCTTTTTATGTTTATAGGATGCTGACGATGAATCAGAAGATGATAGTGAAACAGAGATTCATAGTGAAAGTAATGGACAGATATCTAATAATAGTTCTGAATCTCAATCTCCAGAAACTGCAGTTGAAAATGAACTAGTTTCTAAAGTTTCTGAAAATCCATCAACTTTTGTACCAATTAAGAGTGAAGAGACTTGTGATCCTGATATTATTCCAGATGATGAAGTTTCATCATCATCTGAAGTTTTAGATGATGTTGAAAAATGCGAAAAGATTTCTAAACGTTTTAAATGTGAATTTGCTGAACCTTCTTGTGCTAGATCTTCTATGGTCTATGTGTTTAAAAGAATGAAACAAAGATTTTCTGATGTTGAGGTTGATCATACAATTTCTTTTTCTTTTTATTGTTTTCAGTGGTTTTTCAGTGGTGTAGCTACACATAAGGTAAAACAAGAAACATGACGCACCATTTAATAAGCCAATATTTAATAATAAAAGAATTTAATTAATAAGAAGTTTTTAAAGATATATTCAAATCTTAAAACAAAATTTAAATACAAATTTTAGTGCTTAAATTTTTCTTGATACTAAAATTTAGCCAATTAATCAAAGAATTTGTAAAAAAAATTTCAAAATTATATTTATGTATTGTTTAATTTTATGTTGTTGTAAGATGTACCTTGATGAATTTATTTACACTACTCTATAGTATACACATAAAACCAATACTAAACACAAGTGTCCATCTGACCCACATGATAAACCCACCTAAATAGGTCAGCAATCAACCATTTTGTTTAACAAAATAATCAACTATTGATTGAATGACTTTATGCAACAACATGTTGTCCCACATAAACACATAACTGAGATAATTCAGTTTATGTTTTGAATGTTTTAACAAAAATAAGTATATATTGTTTTCTTTTTGGTAATTGCAAAGTTGTTAAAAAAAGAATGTTTTTTATAACTGAAACAATGTAGTTTTTTTATAGCAGATTTTATTATGAACTTGTTTTTGTTAATATTATGGGATAACACATTGCATAATAACATCCAATTGTCTACTAAGCTGAGTTATTGGGATGCTTATGTTCACAAATTTTATAGTCTTTCACACACATACGTTTTTTTTTTATAAGCATAACGTTTATAAGCATATGGAGGCTCAGATTTGGAAAAAAAATAAGCATATGTAAGCATATTCCTGAGCCTCGATAAACCATTTAAAAAATTCAAATTTTATTAATTTTATTATTTCATTTATTTCAAATGTTATTTATTTTATTATTTCATTGATAACATTTGTATATAGTATATATTTTTTATTATACTGTACAAAAGTCGACTTTTTATTTTTCTTATAACCATTGACCTTTAGTAAGGCACGCATTTTTAGAAAGTATTGAAATGAGCATATTTTATTATAAATATGCTTAAGTTTAAGCATATTTTTGAGCCTCTTTTAACTTTTTGCTTAAGCATACCCGAGCCTGTTTCAAAAATTTTATATGCTTATAAAAAAAAAACATGTATATGCACACGCAAACACACACAACAATATATATGAGGAGTCCATTTGCAAAATATGCTAAGTGCGACTAAATTAATTTTGAGAAAATAGCAAAAAACTGAGCTACTCATAGTTGCGCATCAACAGAAATTGGTATTTTCTCCTATTTTTTTCTTATTTTATTCTAACTTGCAATTGGTCTAATATTTAAATAGGTGATAGATTTCTGTATATAGAATGTGGTAATAGAGTTAACACAAAATTTTTTTATTTTTCTGACATAGCGTGTTTTACAGATGAGCTCCTTGTATTTAAGGATGCATTTTTCTAATATATTTTTTGCCCTTTAGTTCTTAAAATGTGTTTTTTAATTTTTCAGAAGAAGAAAAAACAAATAAAGAGTAATGAAAAAATTTATTGCTGCCCCAACCTAAACCCTCAGTGTAGCAGCAACTCTTTTGCATGTTATCACTAAATCTATTGATGTATGTACTGAAGCCTTTACAGCTCCCTATTCAGTATGACTTCTTTTTTGTGTATGTAATGCTGCATTCATATATGTATATATATGTAGTGTTTACACATAAAGAGGTTATGTGTATCTTCTTTATGGGTAAACACTAAATGCACCTAAACCATCATTACAAATCCCTCTACTTATCCCTGTTTTTGTATTGTATCATGACTTTTTAACATCTAGACTTAAATCCACAGTACAAAATTGGCCATGTTATATATTTGACATGTTCATCAGGATCAATGCCCTTAAATAATTGACACTTTCACATTATCCACACAAAAAAAATTTTAAAAGACAATCGTGCTCTCACAACAAAAACTTATTTCAAAAATAATATTAAAAAGTTACATAAATTTTGAAAGCCAAGTTTGTAAAATATCATTCGGTTCTATTCAGTTAAATTAAATAGTTGTACTTGCAAAATAATAAATTAAATAGAGTTGTACTAGGACCTGTAATGGTCTATTTATGGGATCTTTTATTAAAAACATCTCTTAATTGGGAATGTTTTTCTAAAAAAAGGTATTAGGGTAATTGAGAAAGATTCAAGTTATTTACCCAACCCTAGCTTCTGGAAACTTGCTCTGCTTTCTAAATTATATATATAAATTTTATACTATAGTAGTACTCTAAATTAAAATTATTATACATTATCTATATAAAACTTAAACTATTATATATTATCTATATAAAATTTAATTATATTATTTTGTATTTTTGAATTTGAAAAAAAAACTTTCTGTATTCTAAATTTTTTAATTACGATTTTTCCTAAAGACAATTTGTTTGGCTGAATGGTTTCTTGTTTTTTTGTTTTTTAAGGGACTTTTTAATCGATGAATAAACTATATGTAAAATTAAGTATATAAGAATACCTTAAGTATAAACATTTATATAACTGTATATTTGTAAACTTATATTTATAACATATTACTTATTTCTAGTTTTATTATGACTATATTTATTGTTTTTTTAAACAGGTTTCAAAAAGGCATAACGAGCAAAGTGATAAATTGGATCATGAAATTAAAAACCAGTACATAATTAATTCTACAAAAGATCAACCTGCTCAAATTACTTCATATTCGGAAACTATGAGAATGTATGGTACAAAAGCTGAACCATATCGTCAATGGCATGACAGGTATTCAACTTCTCATGATAACCATAGCCCTAGAATAATTAGTCCAAGGGAGCATTTTATTGATTCAGGAAAGTTTAACCATTTACTTAAAATATTTGATAGGCAGCATTATGATCATCGGCACACATCTATGCCACATGAAGCAAATCATCCAATCCCATTTGTACCACGATCAAATGATCATGGGTGTGATTACCGTACATTGTCCGGGAGAAGTTTTATATCTTCTCACGTACCAGCTGCAATTGAGAATTTGTCACGGTTATCATCTGGAATCGAATCTATTGATAGAGCGTCTAACTTAGATAGACCATTACCTATTGATCCTGTAACTGGTCTTCCTCCTATTCAACCTCATCTTCACTCTCACTTACATACTCACACTCACCTGCATGTGCATCCGGATGATTTAAAATACCGAACACATCCGCTTCCTTCTGAAGCTCATCACGAAAAACACGAAATTCCAATACCTCGTCAACCTCAACAACATTTAACGCCAGTTCATAGACCTAGAAGTAGAGAGTATCATGAGCATTTATTAAAACAATATCCTGAACTTTATGCTCAGATGCACCATGATACTCATCTAAGTAAACATTTTTCGGGGAACAGAGATGCTTTAAAAAACACTAATAGAGATGCGGTTATCAGTCCTAATTTAAGTCATGAAATTCCTAATATGCACAATGATCCAGTTGCTTATCACCTTTGGCTTACACAGTATGCGCGCATGCATCATCGATGGAATTCTCATAGTAGTCCTCTACCCAATCACGATCATGCTCCTGATTTGAGTCCTAGAGGAGCTCACCATTTACCTCACCATTTCAGAAATGAACATGAAACAATTTTACGTGAAAAGATTGCACACGAGAAAATTCCAAGTTTTGAACACGAAAAAATTGCTCGCACTTTAGAGCACGAAAAGTATTTGCGTCATGTGCTTAAGCAACGTGAGCACGAAGTAGAAAGATTTAAAATAGATCATGGACTTCATGAAAGGTCTGTTAGTTTACATGTATCAGAAAATCAAAGTTCGAATAGGCATCGAGATGCGCATGTTGGATTTAGAACTGGTGATATTAGATCTCATCGATCAGTAGATCAACATCCAGCTATTCGTTCTAATGAAATGCATTCTTCGTATCATGGTGCTATATTTGCTGAAAACATAAGACGCCCACAAGATCTCCGAACATCTCATGAAGTAAGATCTGCATACGAACTAAGCATGCATGATAGATTAGCTAACGAATTTTTAGAAAGAGAGAGATTGTCTCAAATGGAGAGATATGGACAGCAAGATAGACAAATATTTTATGAACGAACTCGACATGATCGTCCAAGTATATTTGGGCGGTACAAACCAGAAACAATAGATTTATCTGGGGAATAAATTTTAGATTTCGTATTACCATTATGCTTATCATACGTTATAGTATGTACTAGTTAAAAAATGTTTTAATTTATAACTTATGTTTTTATTAACCAAATATTTTCAATGAGTTTTCGGAAAATGTACAAGATGCGCAAAAAAAAAAATCTTATTTGCAGTTATGATGGGCTGATCTAGCATTTTATATGAGTGAGGCGTAATTTTTTATTAGCTCAACCCATTCCATCCTGCGGCGCATTAAATTTATTGAAGGAATAACGGGCAGAAACCAAACAGCCTTGCTGTCAGAGGGGCGTCGCTATATAAATGCAATGAATAAAAAACTTACTTGTTTTGCATGGATTTTTATAAGTGTTGTTTTTTTCTAATATTATTACAAAATTTCGTTCATAAATTAGACTGAGTTTTAAGTCTAACTTAACGAGGTGCACCGCCGAGAAGTTAACCATGGAATTTACACTATCTGTTTAATGTTATTTTGCCTAAGATTCTATTTCTGGGTTTTTTCCTTAACACTCAGTTTATGTAAAGAATTATTAATGTTACATAATTCCACATCTAGATCGAGGGTTATACTTTAATCTAACATCAGTTTTTGCATATTTTAGAGATATTATTTCGGATGCGTACTTAAAAATCAAATTTCAAGGTTGAAACTAAAGATTTTAAAAGAACTTTTTCTTTTTTCAATATTAAACAATAATCTTTCATAATATATATTTTAAAAAGATCTATTAAAATTTTTAAAGTAATATACATTTAAAGTATAATAAATTATGTACATTTTTTCAACTAAAAAATGAGCGGCCACGAGTGGCTACCGATTATTTAATACAGAAAAAAAATTTTCTAATCTTAACCGTTAAGCTAAAACTTGGTATTTTCCATATTTTCATAAATTCTGGTTTTATATATATTAAGTATGTATGCATATTTAACTATACCTATACTAATATTAGACCACATAAAATTAAAATTAGACGATGTATTAAAGCATTACTTACAAATTAAAAATATGAGTAAAGTAGAGAAATTAGAGACGGTTTCTTTTTCCAACTCTGCTAAGAATCGGAATAAGAAACATTAAACCAAAAATATAGCATACCGAATTCCTTTTTTAATGACCCGTGTAAATGGAAAACATTATACTACGGTTAGTAAAAGAACAGTTTTAACTAAGGCTCGTAGTTGCATATTTTGACCATCATTAAACAGCACAAATTATGTAACCCATGACTTGTAAATGTGGTAAATGGTTTTGTGGCATTTGTTCTTTTCATTAATTCGATATAATTTTAATCTGAATTTTTGTTTTTGAATGCAAATGTATGTATTTTTCGGGAATTTCAAGAACTTACGAATGAGTTTATAAAGTAAAACCGGGTCAACCGCATATCATATCATTCAGCACACTGATCAAAATGATCAAATAAAAGCTGAACGGATGTTGCGGAAATACTATCAGAACGGAAATTTAATTTCCATTCTGATAGTATAATTTTTATGCAACTAGAACATAAAGTTGAATAAAAAATCAAAAAAGTAAAAAAAAGTATCTTTTCTGATAAAACCGCGCCTCAATTAATTACATAGTTTAGTTTTTCACAAGTGACTAAGAGCCTAACTTAAAGTTTATTCTGGTTTAATTAAAATTGAATTATAATATTATTTGTCAATCATCACTTACTCATTACAAAACCCATTATTATGCTATTTCTCGATATAACCATCATTCTCTCATTTCAAGTCAACTCTCTCCCTTCAAAATGTCAACTAAAAAAACAAAAGCGTATAAGGAAGATGATATACTTTATTAACTAATACTGCATTAACTGCATTAACTGATATGAAAGAAAATTACATCACTGAGTAAAGCTGCATTCAAACATTGCGTTCCAGTCTCAACACTCAAAGATTATAACTCATAAGGCATTTGCAATCACACAAACGTTTAATCGACCATCATCAACGTTAAGTAGCCTCGCCAGCACCTGCACCATCTTGCTCAGACACAGCTTTATTATTTTCAATAGCCGCCGCAGTACCTACTTCAACTACACACCGAACACTATCTTTACCAACTACGCCAGCTTCGAGTTTTGATTGGTATCAAGCATGTCTAGAGCGTATTGAAATGGAGTTGAATCAGTTTTTTAAACCAGAAATCAATCGCATGTTAAGAAATTGAAGCAGTGTAACATGTCAAAACTTGGCTGAAATTGTATTATCGAAGAAAATGTGATTGAGTTTCTCAAACAAACAAAAAAAGTGAAAAAATAGCAACAAAGGAAACAGTGAGATTTGCTAAACTTAACGCAAAGCGTAGACTCTATATGCCAATTACTCAAATTCCTGACCATTGCAATCCTGAGTAACTACAGAAAAACAATAATGAAGAACAATTACTTGCAGCCAAACAATTAAAAGTTGCAAAATGTAAAAAGTGTAGAGTACAATTACAGACAGAAATGTTACAAAGAATGAATTCGATATGTAAAGAAACATATTTACTAAAGAAATATCTAGTTAGTACTAAATTTTTTTGTTACAAAAAATGTAAAAATTTTAATATAGTTTCTTAAATATAAATTGTGTTAAAAATAGTATCAATAAAAAAGTTAAATTTTATTTTAATTTCTCAAGTGTGCGGTTTTATCAGAATGTCGCCTAAAACCGCACAAATTTTTTTCATGGTTCTGTGGCCGTGGCGCAGTGGCTAGAGCGCTTGCTTTAGAAGCAGGAGATCCAGGTTCGAAAAGAACTCTGGACATATTTTCGCGTCACAGTAAAGAAGGAAGTGTGAACTTCCTAGTTAAATGCACTTCAGCGGTGCTCTGTGACAAGACCTCCCAGCCAACACAAACACGTGCTTTTAGAATCTAAAATTTTAACACCTTTAGACGTCTAAATTCAGATAACTGCAAGACATCTAATTGTATTTATCTTTGAGACGACGAAAAATAACAGTCTCAAGCCGTCTAAAAGATGACTACTAATAGATGTCTTATATTTATCTGAATTTAGACATCTTAAAGTGTTAACATTTAAGTATGTGAAAAAAAACGTCTCAAAGACGTATTTGTGCCGGCTGGGCGTTAGGTCTTCATGGGGCGCCTAAAATAACAAAATTAAAAAAAAAAATTAAAGTTAAAAAATTATGATAGAGAATTTTATGATGGCTCAGAAAAATTTAAAAGCATTTGTCTCAAAATTTACTGAAAGTGCTTTTTTAATCTGAGGTTGGGAGTAAAAATATTTTTTTGAAGCGTAAAATAAATTAAATATAACTATAGTATTGTATTTTATTTCGTCATCCGGTTTATTGTCATACTGACGCTCTTAAGGATACGTAAAATATAAACTGTATTCAAAGATGTCCATCGAATACATATTCAATATATATATATATATATATATATATATATATATATATATATATATATATATATATATATATATATATATATATATATATATATATATATATATATATATATATATATATATATATATATATATATATATATATATATATATATATATATAAATCAAGAAAACTTCCGTAAAAAAAATATAAATATACAAAAAAGTTTACAATAATTTCCCTAAGCCTCCGTTGAAATATGTATGTAAAAAAAGAATATATAACTATCAAAAGAGTTAAAATTAAAATAATGACAATATAACAATCTAACAATATAAAATTATATATAACAATATAAAATTAAAATAAATACAATATAACAATCAAAAGAGTTAAAATTAAAATAAGAGTGAAAAAATGAAATTTACGAACTTTAAAGCTCTAATTAAAATAATTACGTATATTTGATTTCCTTTTTTATTAAAAATATTAATTATTTTATCTTCGTGTTTTTTGCATATATTCTTTCTCTAATAAAACTTTAACTTTATTTTTAAACTTTTTTTGTAAAGGTTTTTTTCTAAAAGTTTGTCATCCTATTTGTCATCCTATATTTCTACAACAAGATTCTCTTACAAAATATCGCTAAACTCTTGTTGACCCAGATTCGCAGCGTATCCAAATAAAATAAATTTAAAGTTATTGCGATGAGGGGTGTTAAGGTAAAATATCAAGTAATTAAAGCGTTAAACACTTATTCGCATTCGTATATCATTCCTTTCATTTTTTTTTTTTTTTTATTATTATATTATATGTATGATGTATTTTATCATTTTTTTTTTTTAAGCAAAGAGTTTTGTCATATATTAAAATTTACAATGAAATAAATCGTGTTAATAAGAGAACTGGAGCAAGAAGAAGAAATAAATTGTCTTATCATCAAGCCCTATTATAAAATTTACACTAAAAAATTGTCAGTTAATATAAAAAATGAAGAGTAGCTAAGCACATAACAAGAATTTTAAATACCGCACTTTTATTACTTTTAAGACTGTTGAAAGCATTCCTTATTTCGCTTAGATTTAAATTAGATTCTTCCATAATAGAATTACATGATTAATATAAGATTCAAACTTTGTGGTACTTGACGGAATTTTACTCGCCAAGTTCGGCCCTACTTCGAGAAAAAATGAGTTGAGTTCTTTAGCTATTTTTTTTTATCGTAAATCATTTCCCCATCAATTAAAAGCTTTTGTGGGAGATAATTTTTTTCATATTTATTTTTACCAATTATTTGTTTAATTATATTCAACGTTTTTTTAGTGTCGCCGTTAGTTTTTTCCAACAACTTTGTATAATAAATTTTTGTATAATAAATTTTTGAGTGTTTTTTTTTTTTTTCAAATAAGTTTTTATAGTTTTTGTAGTTTATTTCATTTTTATATGTTTTATGTCTTAAATATTTATCATAAAGTTTTTTTTTTTTTTTCATGATTTTATTAATTCCTTGGTCATCCAGGGGTTTAAAAGCGACTTGGATTTTATAACAATTTTTTTAACAGGAAATGCTATGTCAAACTGTTTACAGAACTGCGCTAAAAATAGCTCTTATGCAGTATTGACTTCATGGGATTGTAAAATAACATTCAACTCGGTATTTTTTGTTAAAAGAGTTCGAAAATACAATAAGGAGTTTTCCTTGATTGAGT